AAATGAAACCTAAAATAAAAAAGACAACCGTAAGTCATAAAACATCTATCTCTATTAATATTCACGGTATGGGTTCACACTATTTAGAAAAGCAGTTCCAAAGTACTAAATCCCTACAGATGAGCTTTAAATTGTTATGATAAAGACCCCAGACACTACCAAAATATTAGAATTTAGGGGAAGAAAAGCTCCAGACATCTAAATCCCTCTGTTGTTTTGGATTCTGTTCCTGTTTGTTTGAGGCAAAAGTCTCACCATGTAGACCAGGCTGGCTTCAAAATCAAGATACCCCAGCCTCTACTCCCAAGTGCTGGGATTAAAGGCTTGCAATACCACACTCTGTCCCAGAAGTTTAAACTCTCAACAAGCATTCCCCAGCCCCAAACAACGGGGTGCAGAGGGAATCATCACCTTTTGCACACATCTTAAGCCCTTGTTTACAATCCTAAACTGGCTCTTACAGATACTCGCCTTGGAATGACCAGGAGCCCATCAAGACGGATAAAAATTAAACAAGCCACTGCACAAATGCAGGGGGAAAGTTATACAAAGAAAAAGCAGGCTTTTCTAATCGCAATAACCTCACACTTCTGTGTCTCAGAATCATATAAAAAAGTGGGGCCAGTGAGATGACTCAGCAGGTAAAGACACTTGGCACTGAGCCAGGCGACCTGCGTTTGGTCCCCAGAACCTGTGGAAGAGAGGAAGAAGCAAGTGGGTGCCGCTGTCCGCTAACCCCCACACACTCGGCATGGCACATACAAGCACAGGCGCGCGCACACCAAGCACACTAACTTTTTTTTAACAATGCAAAATGTAAAAGAAGAGGCTGGTGGAGGGCTTGTCTCACATGCGCAAAGCCCTGGGTTTAACCACCAGCATGAGTAAGAGGGGTACAGTGATGCCTACAATCCCAGCACTGGGAAGGTAGAGGCAGGAGGGTCAGGAGGAGTTCAAGGTCATCCTCAGCCACACAGGGTGCTTCAGCCCAGCCTGAGTTATACGAGACCCTGCCTCCAAAAGTTAATTAGCTGATTAGCTAATTGTAAAAGAAAACACACTGGAAGGGGGGAATATGATAGTGGGAACAACCAAAAAAATCCAAAGAATACAAATACAAAATAAAAATTCAACACTAAAGAAATGTAAGAGGTAAAAATCAAAACAATGTATTGCAAATTTAGGTAACAAAAGTGTTTAAAAATAATCAAGGGAACCAGGCATGGTGTTGCATGCCTTTAATCCTGGCATATCAGGCAGAGGTAGGAGAGTCTTTGTGAGTTCGAGGCTAGCCTGGACCACATAATGGGTTCCAGGAGAACCAGGACTATATAGAGAGAGGATGACTCAAAACAAAATTAAAATTAACAACTAAATAATCAATGGATATAATGATGGACATCAACTACATAATTTTCTGGGGTTTTCATTTTGTTTTGTTTTGTTTTTCTAGCATTACAACTTTCAGAAAACTAATTCATTCAACAACTCCATCCTGAGCGTCTTCAAAGAAATCCACACTCCAAGCAAAACACAGGAGGCCTGCCTGGTACATATGACAATTTAGTCACATTATCATTCCCATTCTACAAATACATGCTTAAAAATAAAGACCTGTTTATACCTGAAAACAGAGAGGGGCAAAGACTTGTCTGTATAGATATTCACCATAACATTTAGGATAGCTTGGCTGGTCGATGATGGTGCACACCTTTAATCCCAGAACTCAGAGGGCAGAGACAGGAGGATCTCTGTGAGTTCCAGGCCAGCCTGGCCTACAAAGAGAGCTCCAAGACAACCAGACCTACACAGAGAAAACCATCTAACAACAACAAGAAATTATGGCAGCTCAAAATAATTATGTTAAAAAATGTGTTTATGAGTAGCTACAATAAATACAATTATGCATATAATTTCTCACTTTCCAGATATTAACAACGAAAAAGGACTAGGTATGGTGGCACACATGTAATCACAGCACACAAGAGGTAAAGCAGATCTGTCACACAGTTCAAAACTAGCCTGGTCCACATAGGAAGGCCTGGGTTTTATAGCAAAACTCTACCTCAAAAACAGAACCTAACCATTTACAGTGCTATCTATGAGCTGTGGAACTGTGGGTGAGCCCCCTTTTCTTGTGCTGGGGACTGAAGCAGGGGCCTGTGGATGCTACCCAATGCTCTACCAACTGTTTTGTGCACCTTTCATTAATTTTTTGCCACAATCAATTTCATGATGATCATAATTCTTAAATAGATTTCTCTCTGAGTAAGGAATGGAGTGCATTCTCTCCTTTTCCATTGTGGCTGCTTGGCTGGCTACCTAAAAGCACTACATTCAAGATAAGTCCCCAAGATTGTTTCCACAGCAGTGAGGTCAGAACCAAACCTGTAAATGTTTTCTTTAAAAAGAAAACAAAAAATGTGCATTTAAAACACTAAAGGAAATAGAAATGGCCAACAGAGCAAGCCAGCGCAGAGATCTCACTGAAGAATCAACTCCATTAACCAAAGAAGAAGTTGCTTAAAGCAGGGGGCTTACCATCCAAACACAGGAGGGGCTGCTGCCTCCCAGAGGGGTTGTAGACAGGATTAAGGTACCCCCTGCACCCCTAGGACAGCCCTCAGCAAAGCCTCTCTGCCCACACTGCTAGTGAAAGTGGTCCTGGTACCACCACATCCCAGGATCAACAGCTACTGGCCATGCCCGGGCATCACTAAGATGAGAGGGTCCTGGTACCACCACATCCCAGGATCAACAGCTACTGGCCATGCCCAGGCATCCCGCAAGCCACCCAGGCATCTTACCAAACCACCCACCCTCCGCCAAGCTAGTTTCCCAGAGCCTGCAATTAGGTCACCATCAAGAGGTCATCCCTGAAGACCCTCCACCTAGCATTTCACTCGGAATGGGTACAAACGTCCACACCGGCTTACACACCGGCTTCGTGTTTGCAGTGGGGTCCCTGAGGCTGGATGCCATGCACACTGGATCTCACTCTGTGCTCCTGACCAAAGCAGCTGTGCAAACTAGGGAAGCCCAGCGAGCAAGTCAGTGAAAGGATGTCTCTGCCTCCGTGACGGCAGCTCTAGAAGGAAAGTATAACACTTCGAGTCTCTGGGTTGCATAGATGGATTAGGGGCAGCAGGGAAACAGAAAAGGATTTCTAAAGAAGGGTGAAGCAGTGTAGACCGACCCACTGTTGACTTTAACTTTAGCAAAATGACTTGGTCTTCTACAAGCTCTCCAGAATTTCCAGATGACAATACGCATCTGGGAGAACACTGGGGCCCCAGAAGCTAAGTGTATCATAGAGTCTGGAGCCAGACTCTCCTAAACACCTGTTAAGGTCCTCCGGTCCTCCTCCGTGAAGTAGGGGTCCTAAAGCCTAAGCCCCAGCGTGACCAGGTAACATGTATGAGACGCAACACCAGGCACGCATGTCAGTGGAGACAATTGCCGAGTCAGGTCCTGTGACGGACAACTCCAGCAGAGCCCACCTTTCTCTGCTGACTAAAGACAAGAGCACGCTCCAGGACTGAGCCCTCATGCACTGAGACTGACCGAGAGGTGGAAGCTTAGGCAAAGTCTGGTGCCCAGCGTACACAGCCTAAAAGAGACCCACTCTGTCAACTCTGCCTCTGGTGTGGTTCCCCGAGACAGGGTTCCACCCAGCTAGAGGGAATCTCTGGAGGCTATAGCTACGAACCCAGTCTGGGGGTCAAGAACAGCCAAAGGGAACGGATGGAAACAGCAGTTCCCTTCACCATCGAGCCTGTGACCTTGAGCAAGCTGCTTTTGCCTCAGTTTCCTCATGAGTGAGTGAAGCTGTCTCATCCCATGTTCCCTCAAGTCCCTTCCTGCCTTCGACTCCACCATCCCCTTCGTGGGGCTGGTTATAAAGCCTACAGCCAGGCCTAAGGGGACACCTTCAAATGTGTTCCACTTCCTTCAAGCCACTTGGCAGTCCTCTGGCTCTGCTCCCACAAGGGGGGGGGGGTGGTTCTGAGCTGCCTTCACAGCCTTTCCGTTTTTTCCTGTGCAGGGTGAAGAGCTTTCCACCCTCAACTGCTCCTTCCACATTCCCTTTCCTACCTACAAAGTAACCAAGCACGAGCGTGCAGGCTGGCCTGTGTGTCACCCCGGAGATGGTCTCCAGGCCATGCTTCCAATGGACAAACAAACATTTCAGAGAGACAACAAGAATTGAATCATTTCCTCAACAAACAAAACCCACCCACACGCCTCATAAATCATGTCTCTTAAGCCCATGCTGATGAACAGTCACTAAATTGCATCTATTGTAAAAACCAACCATGACTCCTTTCATGCCCTGACACTTGAGACTCAAAATATTTTCACACTCCATTGTAATGCCTTTGTAAAGGCATTACCAATAGCTAGTTCCCTGGAAAGATCCGCGGCCAGGGCGCTTTCCAAGAGATTTTTCTTTGAATGTTCTTTGTGTCCTGGTGCACTGGGGGACACGGCCAGCTTGCCTGCATCTGGGGAAAACACTGGCTGCTCAGGGCAATGCACAACGGCTCTACAGCACACACCAGATGCACCCCCTCGCCCAACAATAAAAGTATCCCAAAACATTCGCTACGCCACATTCACACGACTGTGCACAAACACAATTCCAGTGCCCGCATTTTGCAAAGGGGAAAAAGAAAATAGGCATCTTCAGAGCAGAAATCAGACCCGCCTCGGGCAACATGGTTCACGGGAGGCTTAGGCTGCAGACGGTTTTTTTTTTTTCCTTTTTTTAGCAAGACCGGTCAGGAACCGCTCGCTCTTTTCCTTTGCATCTATTCATTTCCTCCATGCCTTTATTTGCTGGGCCCAGGAAGAATGGGAAAGCATCTCCAGCAAGGAGGGCGAGGGAGCGGCGGAGAATAAAAGAGGATGGGCGGGTGGGGGAAGTCAGAGAGTGGCGAGCGCGGCAGCGAAGGCGGGCAGGGTGGCGGCCGCGTCCCGGGGGGCTCGGCGAGGCTTACCTGGGGCACATGAGGCCGGCCGGGCTAGCAGCAGCAACCAGAGGCCGGGGAGCAGCAGCCCCGGGCGGCGGTGGCGGGAGGAAGGCCCGCGGCCGCTCCGTTCCGGCAGCAGCGCAACCTTGGCGCGGGGCTCCCACTCCATGGCCACGCGTCGACTCCCCGGCACACCGGCCCCCGGCTTGGGCGCGCTCGGGCCCGGGACGCGGGCGGCCGCTGCGGCGGGGACTGGACGCCGCACACCGGCTCGCAGCGAGGCCGGCAAGGCGGGGGCGGGCCGGGCCGGATCGGAGGACACGGGCCGCTTGCACGCCGGCCGCGCCGCTCCGCCCCCTCCCGAGCCTCGCAGCCGCTGCCGGGCAACGCACGGCCCCGCGCGGGGAGGCGAGCACCACCTCCCGGCCGGCCCGGCGCCTGCCTGCGGGCAGCCCGGCGGAGGGCGCGGCGGGTCCCGGGCCCCGCCCTCCCCCAGGGCCCGCCTCCTCGGAGGGAGCGCGGGACGGCACCGCCCCGCACCCGCACAGCACCGGGCAGGCTCTGGAGGAACCGTCGGAAACCCGGGGATGCTGGCGATCGCTCCCCCTGAGCCGCCCGTGCGGAACGGGCAGCAGGTGTGTGTGCGGTGCGGGGCAGCCAAGGTCCCGGGCAGCTACCGGGCTGCAGAGCGGACAAAGCCGAAAGAAGTCGTGCTCTCTTCCCCGGAGCCGGTGTACAGGAAAGGGCTGGGGAGGGGGCGCTCATCTCTGCCCATCCTTTGCCTCTCCAGAAAGAACTCTGCCACCTGGCGAAGGTGGCTCTTTGGAGAGACCTGGGCCTACTGCCCTGAGCTTACTAGTCTTCAGAAAAGGGCTGCTGAGCCTAATGGAGGTGGACGGACGCAGGCAAACACACAGAGCCAGGCCTTTTTCAAAGAAAGTAACACCGACGAATGATGAAAAAGACAGCGTTGGGGATTAGCTTCCAAAGGAAATGGGGAAGGGGGGCGGTGGATAAGAGTTAATTTTGTCTAAGAGCCCAGCGTGCCGACTCTGAAGAGGGAAATATGAGCTATCCACGCTGGTCAAAGGATCCAGGTTGCTCTTCAGGAAGGGACAGACCAGGCCAGAAGGAGCTGCCCAGTCTTGCAGGGACAACCCGTCCATCTAGGCCGAGAATCAATAGTTCCTCTTCTGAAAAAGGCGGGTCAAAACCTGTTAAATTCCAGGGGAAATGGGGATATAGGTTAGAAGCTTTTGTGGATGACCCTAATTTTTATGCTTCATTATGTCACCTACCTTAAGCAGCCCCCATAAATTGCTCTCTTGCGCCCCCCCCGCCACACACCCACCCACTGAGTAATCTCATGCATACTGGAATGGAGCTTCTGCTTGTCCGAGCGTGTCTGGACCCTGATTACAATAGCCCTAGCTATGGTCTCCTCCCTCCTAGCTTTCCTCTGAATTCTTTGTGTACACAACTCATTTGACCTCAGACCACCCACCTGGGGCAGCTCTTGACATTTAGTACTATTGTGTTGTATTCTTTTAATTAAGAACTTGGACTTTGCCTCCTCCCACTACCTTAAAAAGAAGTTCTAGCCGGTGGTGGTGGCGCATGCTTTTATTCCCAGCACTCGGGAGGCAGAGGCAGCAGGATCTCTGTGAGTTTGAGACCACCCTGGTCTACAAGAGCTAGTTCCAGGACAGCCTCCAAAGCCTCAGAGAAACCCTGTCTCGGGGGGAAACAAAAACAAAACAAAACAAAAACCCGCATAGGCTCTCCCATCACCCCAGGAAGATTTCATTATATATTTATTGATGGGAGCCAATGCATCATTTATATTTGGCCTCCAGGAAGTTCCCAATTGCTCTAGACCTCGGGATGTGGGAGAAAGGAATCTCCCTCACCATTCTGAGTCAACTCAGAGTCTGCTAGAAATAAACAAAAAACACAACCTTGGACTCCTGGGCATCAGCTCTCTAAGGAAAAGGAGATCCCTAGAGTCCCTCCGTCTCCCTGCTCTGAAAACATAAAACTAACCTCTGTCAGGAATTGGAGAATCCTCTCTCAGTGTCTAGGAGAATGACTCCCAGGGCTCAGTTGGCAGATAATGTGACTCTGCAGACACAGCAGGAATGAATGGGCATGTCTGTGTGTACACACACATAGTCACACATATATGTACATTTGTGTCTAAGAATAGGGCTCAAGATGCCCCCTCAGAGCATCCATACAGAATTATGCAATGAGCAGATCTGGTGAGTATTTCATTTCTTAGCCCTTGCTATGACTTGTTAGTCCTGGGAGGGGGACATATAAGAAGACAGAATGGATTTTTTTAGATGCTCTTTCACCCAATTCTCGTTTGACGAGTAAATGAGAGATGGACTCTCCCTCAACCACAAGTTATGCACCAACAGCCAGGAGGGGAGTATCAGCCTGACTCAGCAGGCTTCTAGCCTGGTTTGGGGAAGGAGAGAAAGGGGGTCAATTTTAGTCTTAGATCTGGAGCAAAAAACAGGTACCACCCTGGGCTTCTGTCAGCTGCACCCGGCCCCCACAGGCCCAAGAGCCTGATAAACCAAGGGAATACCCCCGCCCGGATCCATCTTCCCTGGGCCTGAGTGCACAGGCCTCCAGAATTCCACTCTTTTGGCCCAGCTCACTCCAGAGCTTGTATGAAATCTTCCTGAAGTCTGTCCTCCCAAAAGTGGACCAACAGCTGTTGTGTTTGGTTTCAGGGAGTAGAGGAGGGTAGTTGTTTGCAGGGGTGGAGGTGGGACTTGGACAGGTGGATGCAGTGTCACAAAGCCTACAGGATGAAGCAAAGAGCCAAGGGTGGGCAGAGAGTCAGACGCGCCCCAGGGTCACATGGAGCTGAGTGAATCTTTTCAAAGGTTATTGGGTCTTAATTCTGCCCTTGAACTCAGCCCACTGGGTTACTAGGAAGACCTGTGCACCCAAGGGCGACCATGGGTGTTTTAGTTCATAGTTTGCCTGCTCGCCATAGGCCTTGTAGATGTTTTACGGTGATGTGTGTGTTTTTTTATTTTCTCATTTGCCTTCTTGCCCTCTATCCTCGGCTCTGCTTCTTGACTGACCAGGACACGAACGAGCAGGACCGAAACCCCTGAGCCACCAGGATGTCCCTTATCTTCCCCGCCACAATGGGTTGATACCCCTGAAGCCACAGGCCCAGATAAGCTCTCCCTCCCTGCTTCTGTCAAGGCTTTGTCACAGCGATAAGTAATCGCCACAAGTTCCAGGAAGTCCCACCGCATTTTGAGCACTTGCTGTATGCCAGACCCCATAGTGGGGGTACCACAGCACACAGACGGAGACTTTTCCTAATTCCAGTGACAGAAGACAGACCACAAATAATAAGTGAGAGACCGCTCCACACGGGGCTTAATTCCAGTGACAGAAGACAGATGACAAATAAGTGAGAGACCGCTCCACTCCACTGGTGACCTTTAAAGAGGGAAAGGGGAGGCTAGATGTGGAGACGCACACCTTTAATCCCAGCACTCAGGAGGCAGAGGCAGGCGGATCTCTGTGAGTTCGAGGCCAGCCTGGTCTACAAAGTGAGTTCCAGGACAGCCTCCAAAGCTACAGAGAAACCAAGTCTCCAAAAACCAAATAAATAAATAAAATAAAAATAAAGAGGGAAAGGGGAGGTTAGATGTGGTGACCTACGCCTTTAATGCCAGCACTGGAGAGGCAGAGGCAGTCGGATCTCTGTGAGTTCGAGACCAGCCTGGTCTACAGAGCAAGTTCCAGGACAGTCAAGACTGCATAGTAAGGTCCTGTCTCAAAATTAAATAAATAACTAAAGTAAGAAGAATGGAGTGTGGGCAAAAGACAGTGTTGCCAGGCTAACGGGCAGTCAAATACGGTCACTCTCTAGTAAGGCGATGATGAACCTTGGGACAACTGGAGAAAAGGGTGCCAGGCAGAAGGAACAACTGTGCAAGATTTAAAAAACAACTAGAGTAAGCATCCACAGACTGTTTGCTAAGCTCCGAAGGCTATCCCAAAGAGTAGAGTGCTGGGCCTTGAAGAACAGTAATTAGCCACATGTTGTGTCGCCCCAGATAGGCAGCCAATGACAAACCAAAGTACAGATGCCACCCAGGTCCAATACAGGAATATGGGTGAGGGGTCACTTACAGGAGCAGAAATGACACAAAGACAGCTGCATCCCCAAAGCCCACCCTAGCACAGGTCACAAAAGCTGGAACTTGGAACACACTGCACAGCATGCAGCAGTTTAACAGGCGAGAGGGTGTCCCTTCCAAGTGACTCATTGTTCCAGACCACTTCCAGGCAGCTCAGCTGTGTCTGGTCTGAGAGTCTCCTTTGCAGCTTTGCTCTGGGAACCTGAGAGGGACTCTCAACATTTTACTGCTCACTGGCAGGGAGGGGCCTAGAGAATCCGGTCAGTTTCAGGGACTTCCTGAAGCTGTTTTGAGGTCTTCATTTTGCTTTTTGTTTGTTTCTCTTTTTTGTTGTTGTTGTTGTTCCTTTGTTTGTTTTGTTTTGTCTTTTTTTTTTCTGAGACAAGCTTTCTCTGTGGCTTTGGAGGCTGTCCTGGAACTAGCTCTTATAGACCAGGCTGGTCTCTACAGAGATCCATCTGCCTCTGCCTCTGCCTCTCCTGAGTGCTGGGATTAAAGGTGTGTCCCACCATTGCCCAGCCTGCTTTTTCTTTTCTTCTTTTTTTAACCTTCCTGCAGAAGGAATGTTTCAATGTCAGAGGGAACTTACACAAGGCTTTGTTCCGATCTGCTTATAATGTTATAGGGGGAAAAACCAACTTCAAAAGCAGAATATTTGAGATGTCACAATGGCATCACTACATATTCAAAGAGGGCATTTGCATTTGGTAGGAGGGCAGGAGGAAAGCTCCGTGAGCCTAGATGTGGCTCAGTGATAGAGCACTTGCCTAGCATCCATGAGGACCTAGGTTCAATTCCCAGCACTCAGCAGCACATCAAATGGACTTTAGGAATTAGAGGGATTGCCCTTGGAGGGGATGCATGGTCTGAACAAATATACAATAGCAAGAACATGAGATTTTTTTCTTCTAACTAATGTATTAGCTCACCTGGAACCCTGGCTCCCAATCCTAGCCACTAATTAAAGTCGACTGGAGACCCATAGATAAAGCATACTATCCCTGGGCCACACCTACGGTAATTAAGCTCAAATGTGTGCACTTCAGGCTTGGGGGTGTTCTGTGTAGAGCTTCCTGGGATTTTCATGAGCAGCCTGGGATGGAAACCATTCGGTGAGAGGGATGAGAAATGCCGATGGACAAGAAGGGGAGAGAATCCGGCACAGAACGAGACATAAACTGCGGGGCCAAGGACCTGAACTCCATCCCAGGCAATGATGGATCGGCAAAGATCTTTTTGCGGTATTATTAGAATGAAGCACAAGAAAGATGACTATTAACAATGTATAAGGCCATTTGGAGAGGACAGGCAGAGGAGAGGAGGCCATTTAGGAAACTGCAACCCTGAACAAATGAAGGAGGATTTGAACGTCGCCCAACACCAAAGAGAGCAGGCTTAAACTTGTTATCCTATCCATTTATACAAGAATATGGGGAAGTGGGCATTCTTAATCCTACTGATATAAGCGTTTTGAGGGATATCTGGGCATTTATCTATCAAAATTTAAAATTGACTCAACATGTAGCCCAGAAAAAGCCCAACTCAAACTGCCAGTGGTTTCTTGGAACTGGAGAGATGGTTCCGTGGTTAAGACCACCCACTTGCCCTTCCAGAGGACCTAGGTTCAACTTCTAGAACTCAAACGCTGGCTTATAATCATCTACACACACATACACACACATACACCACACTCACACACACAGAGGGGGGGAATACCCATACAGAGATACAAAGAAAATAAATAATTTTGAAACCTGTATGATTCCTCTCCCCCTGTTCATTCATCCTTGATGGGGGTGGTCCTTCTGTATATATGTTGTCTTATTGGTTGATAAATAAAGCACTGTTGGCCAATAGGGAAGCAAAATAAGTGGGACTAGGAGTCAAGGAGGATTCTGGGAAATGTAGTCAAGAGTAGGGAGTCACCATGTGATCCCAGGAGGAGAGGACACATCAGGATGGTGTCCTTGGAAAGATAAGTCCTTATAAAAATATGTAGTAGCTATTATGAGTTAATAATTAAGTCAAAGCTAGCCATTAAGAAACCATAGCAAAGCCGGGCGTTGGTGGCGTACACCTTTAATCCCAGCACTCGGGAGGCAGAGGCAGGCGGATCTCTGTGAGTTCGAGGCCAGCCTGGTCTACAAGAGCTAGTTCCAGGACAGCCTCCAAAGCCACAGAGAAATCCTGTCTCGAAAAAAAAAAAAAAAAAAAAAAAGAAACCATAGCAAACGACCAACAGCTTCATAATTAATATAGTGTCTCGTCTGTTATTTGGGGGCAGAGACAGCGGCAGGACCCAGGCAGCTGGTGGGAAAGAATACATGTTACACCTTACACATCCTTGTTTTTCTTTTTAATATTTAAAAGCAGCTCACGCCAGGCAGTGGTGGCACATACCTTTAATCCCAGTATTCGGGAGGCAGAGGCAGGCAGATCTCTATGAGTTCAAGGCTAGCCTGGTTTACAAAGCAAGTTCCAGAATAGCCAGGGCTACACAGAGAAACGCTGTTCCACTGAATGGACATACCACAGGTTGTTTATACATCTCACTAACTGATGGACACTTTGGGTTGTTTCCAATTTCTCACCTATTATTTGTTGCCTGGTATTTGTGTAAACTTGTGCTTCCGTTTTTCTTGAGTAATACCTTGGAGTAGAATTACCATATTCTGTAGTAAATGTATAGTTAGCTTTATAAGAAATAGATAAGGGGCCAGGTGGTGGTGGCGCACGCCTTTAATCCCAGCACTCGGGAGGCAGAGGCAGGCAGATCTCTGTGAGTTGGAGGCCGGGCTGGACCAGTAGCCTCCAAAACAATACAGAGAAACGCTGTCTTATAAAAACCAAAAAAGAAGAAGAAGAAGAAGAAGAAGAAGAAGAAGAAGAAGAAGAAGAAGAAGAAGAAGAAGAAGAAGAAATAGAAATAGATAAGGGGCT